GTCGAAAATTATCGACGATTATAGAAAAATGTAGAGAAGAAGCAAGAAACAAAAAATAATAAAAAAAATAATAAAAAACAAAAAAAAAACAAACAAAAACGAAACAGAAACAACGTATATACTCGTCTATAAGTCGGTATCTTAATATTTCGTTTAGAAAGAATTAAATATATTAACAACACCCTCCCATACTATATTGGCATGCAGATTGTAAAGTTTATATTAACAAAGCATCATAATCTCTCTGACAAATGATAGTTTTAGAATCACCCACCGTGGAGCGATATTTAACAAACTACATTCACAGATCATATTGTGCCAGTCTCAAACACGATAACAGATTTCAATAAACACCACCCCTTCTTTAATACGTGTATATGCCATATCCTTTCAGAATGCGGTAATTAAGGCTCTCCACAACTTCCTGATTTTTAATGATCTCAGTATCATGGAATAGTGCTGCCATATATGGTCTGGAGCCCCCGCTGTTTGTCTCGATGTCCTCGACAGAATCCAAAGACGGATATGCAATGTAATGGGTCCTGATCTGGCATCTCGTCTACAGTCACTTTCTCACAGAGGTGCCGCTGCTTCCCTCTGTCTTTTCTACAAGTATTTTCACGGCAACTGCTATGACAAACTACTTTCACTAGTTTCCAAACTGCATGAATTTAAGCGTGCTACTAGGTTGGCATCTCGGTCCCACCCTTTCACTGTCGAAACGATTAAAGGAAGCCGTCTCTTCTACTCCAACAGCTTCCTATCTCGCACTTCTTCTTACTTGCTTCCCTGATAGCTATAATCTTCTAATATTCATATGTAATAACAATCAACATCTTCTGACGCCTTGATCCCCTCCCCAAACCCGCCTCTTTACTCTGGCTCTCCATCTATGGAACCCCTTGCGTACTAAAAACAATAATTCATCCCTCATGAATATCCTTTATATTTAATTATTTGTTCCATTCTTCATTTGAAGAAAGTTCTTTTCTCTCGCTTTCGATGGGTCCTGCCAGTGTTAAATTCTCCGAGCCTGCTTTCCTTACTATTCATCTATCCAGTTTCTTTCTTTAGATCTAATCCCTGTTGGTGCCAACAACATTCTGAATAATCGCTTCCCAGTACGATATCTATAGTTACTGATTTTTTTGTTTAATGATCACCCAATAGAAGGCCCAAGAGCCACTCAATGTAGAAGGACGCAGGAGGGGAAAGTGAAATAAGTGCAGATTATGAAGATGCGTACAATAGATAAAGGTTATTCCTAGGCTTAAAGAGGTTAAGTTTGTAGTGTTCTGGGAAGCATCATCTTGGGAGTCTGTTCTATAAAGTAGGTTGATTTGTTTTTTTTTACGGCTTATCAACCCCTTATTTAAAACCAGAATATATTTTTAGATTGTAAGAATTTTTTTAGATGATAATGATTTTAGTGAGACAAGACGTACTAATTGACCTATAGCTGGGGGTGAGAAGCGGAGGATCCATTTGTTTCCGAGGGGTATTTGCTCGGAATTGAAGATAACGAAACCAAATGGAATCGGAACGTGGCTTCTCGATTAGCCATTAAGCCCATACGTACATCGCACCTGGTATATTCAAGCGGTCACCTATCGAGGTGCTGACCAATCTCGACGTTGCTTAATTTCGGTGATCGTGCTGGATCAGGTTTTTTCAACATGAGGTGACCGTGAGGGCATAAAGTAGTGGATCTTAGGAGGGAGCGTTGCGCATTGTTGGGGAGGGGATCATGGTGGAAAATAATTCATTAAAAACAACGCCATGAAAGCGCTTTTGAACTCAGTTAAGACTGAATAATGACTGTTGAGCAGTTCCAGACCGGATATGGCATCAATAGCCCGTTTTTGATCTGATCTGACTTTTGCAATGACAAAAAAATAGCAGAAGCAGACATGCACCAAGTTGACCTTTTAGTATAGGGAAAGTCTTAGCTATGAAGGTCAGAACTGGTCGAACTCAGGAATGAGACTTGCATAAACATCTGCCATGAAAACAGTAATAGAGTTCCAAAAAGCCTGTAAAGTTGTTTTCATGAAAGGACTTGTAGAGTGAAAAAATAATTCATAACTCCCAAAAGACTGCATAAATTCTTTTGAATTCTAACAAGGCTTGCAAGAGTGATTGGATAGCTCCAGACCAGATATGCCTGCCATACTCTATCAAGGTTGGAATTTGAGGACTGGGCAGCTCCAGACCAGATATAGCAGTAAAACTCCATTTTCGTCTAATCTGACTCTTGTTAAGGTGAAGCATAGCAGAAGAACTCGATCAAGGCTGGAATTTGAGGATTGGACATCTCCAGATCAAATATAGCAGCCATACTTCATTTTTGGTCTGATCTGACACTTGACAAGATAAAGCACAGCAGGTGGAGACAGGGAATTACTGGAGTGGTACTAGAAGTTGACCTTTTAGTATAGTAAGAGTCTTAGATGTGAAGGTCTGAACTTGTGGAACTAAGGAATGAGGCTTGCAAGAATATCTGCCATGAAAACAACAATAGATTTGCAAACAGATTGTAATGTTTTCTCTGTGAAAGGGCTAGTATAGTGGAACACAATTCATAAGCCCCAAAAGACTGCATAAACCCTTTTGAACTCTGTCGAGGCTGGAAAGGAAGGATTGATCAGCTCCAGACCAGATATGCCAGTCATACTCCATCTTTGGTCTGATTTGATTCTTGCAAAGTTAGTGCATGACATGTGTAGTCAGGTACTTTCTGGTGCGATATAAGATGCCGACCATTTTCACTGCCTTTTTAGCGATGAATTGGATATAGGAATTACAGATGAGATCTCGGACGAACTTATATTCTAATAGACACTCAAAGAAAGTATCAACATTCCGATGGTTTTTTTTTGTTTCACAGTCATGGGAAATGCAATTCATGTTTAACCCTCTTTTTTCTAGCTTAACCCAACTGGTATTGCAATCCATACTTGCCCTAAATTAGCTGCCAACTGAGGCTATAAAGACAAGACTGCCTTTCTATTTAATCCATATCTGGGTATCTTCGTTATAGATTACCAAAATTCCAGCTGCTTCTGTCTTGTTATAATCAGTTTCTTTGTAGTTAGTATTCTTCTTAAATCTTCCCCATTTGTCACATGTTCGGTCGATTTTATTCTCAGCATTCGTCGGTAAAATCGCAGTATAGCTCCTTTTCTTTTTTTATTTTATGTTTCGTGTCTCTTCAGGATTTATCTAATCATGGATCTCCACGACTTCTTTTATTTTTGTAGCTCTTAGTAGTTTTTGTCTCTTTGGTATCCCTTCGAGTCTCTGTGCTGACATCCATTTATACAAGCTCGATAGATAGGTTATTTGCCATTTCTATTCACCTTGCTCGCATTCACTGTGTTCTGTCTGTGTCAAATTTTCCAGGTCATCTTTCCTCATTATCTTGTTGCAAAAACTTTCTGATCCTAAGTGTCAGCTTCTCCGTGTCGTGTCTCTTTAGTACGTTTGCGATCATGGCCGACCATAGTATTTTGCTCTTTGTAGATCTTGGTAAATTTGGTCTACCTAACTTAAACCCTGTTCTGCCATCCATTTCATTCTAAGTATCTGCGTCTTATTTGTATGGATTTTCTTGAAACTTCCTCGTTGCTCACATTCTTCGTTAAGGGTATTCTAGAACATCTTTCAGTGGAAGTGTTCCAAGTCTCCTCCTTATATGCGAGGAAACTGTCTGACATTCACGGCAATATACGGGGATTTTTTTTAAATGAAATATCAGTTCAGCACTTGTTTCTTCGTAACGAAATTTTCATGTTTCATAATATTTGTGTTACTCGTGGAAGGCATATTTTCACAATTTCAAAGCGACTTCGGATTTCAGTGCCACATTTTCCATTGTGTATTAAGTTGCCATACATGCTTGATTTTAACATCTTCTATCTTTTAACTCATAGATTGCATCTCAGGATATTTCTCTTGCTAACGATAATTTTGACATCTCCAACACATAGATCGCATCTTAGGATGTTTCGCTTCTTTAGCGACCATAATTTCGTTTCCTTGCATTTGACTTCCTTCTGCTTTTCTTTGTCTAGGTGTTCCTTTATTTTTTGTCCTTTGTATTCCATCAACACTGTTTTATCCACATATCTTATGTTGTTAAAACTCTGCTCATCAGTAATAAATCCTGGTAGGACTTCTAGTTCTTTTAGGATCACCCGCTGTAAATGTTACAGCTGTTTTTATTTTCGTATACATACTCGATTCGTTTTTTATCCTCATGCCTTCGGTTTGCTCCCAGTAAATGTTCTGCAGTATTCCAATATCTTGTAATCGTCCTGGGTAAGACGTTAAACTTCATCCGCGTCCTGGGTAAGACGTTAAACTACGTCCAGCAGCAAGGCCTTTGATCAGGAGGTTTTCAGGAGCGTGGAACGCCCTCTTAATTGCTGGTGTTCCCAGGCCCACCCTGACCTGAGATGGTAGCACCTGTTAGGGTCCCAGCTATGGGCAAATAGTTAATTACCAGCAATCCTTTTTTGAAAAAAAAAATTACCAGCAATACAATTTTGAAGGAAAAATATTACCAGAAACAGATTTTTGACAAAACAAAATATTACCAGCAATAAAAATTTTTTGTCGGCATTAAATATCCCATGGAGGTTGATATGCCGTAAAACCAAACAAAACCAAATATCTTTTTAAAATAAGGTTTTCCTACTAGTTCAAATATCATTTCGTACGCAACTGTAGAGTCCATTTTTGTATATGCTTTTGTATACTCCATGAAAATAATGTATAGGTCTTTCTCTCTTTATATCATTCTTTCTGATATATTCCTGAGAATAAATATCGCATTAATTGTTCTAGTGTCTTCATAAATATTTGGTTAAAAAAATTCGACTCATACACGAGTATACACTGGAAAAATTATTCGATATAAAATAAAGAATAATGAAAGCAGAAGGGATAAAAAAAGAGGAGAGAAAAAAGAAAGAAAACGTAATGGAGAAGAAAGAAACATCGAAATAAAGAAAGAAAGAAAGAAAGAGAAAGAAATAAGAGGAGAAAGAAAGGAAGGAAGAATAGAGGAAAGAATAGAAGGAAAGAAAGAATAAGTAGTGTGTCGGCTTCCAAAGCCTTTTGCGTTGTGGCAGGGGTAGTTTGTGTACTCACTTTTTCTCCGTGAGTTGCCTGAAATAAGAGATTAGCAGGAACTTTATTTTAAAGACTCTGTGAATTTGAATATTTTTAAAGAAAATATAAGAAAAATTAAACAGACAAAAAAAAAAAACAAACAAAAAACAAACCTTCGAACGAGTATATTAAATCACGTAATTAAAATGTAACGTGATCTGGTTTAAAAATAAAATTCAGATTTATTAACCGTTGTTGTAAAAACCTGAAAAAAACTGTAAAAAAACAAAACATTAAAAAAAGGAAATATTGTACTTACGAATGTCGAATGATCATGAGAGAAGAAAAAAAAAATTATTTAAAGCAGTCGCAGCAGGGATTTGAACTCGGTTCTACTGATTTCCATTGAAAGCTTATTCGTGTGCTTACCTTCTATTTTATATATGTGTTCCGTTATTAACAATGATCTTTAGATAAAATTGTAGTCTGCGTCTCACTTCCAGATGACGTCAGAATAGACTTTGCCCTCAATATCACTATCAACCAAGCCAGATTGAAAGATTAATATTCTAGCCGGATGTGGGCGTCCGAAATTTAACCGATGTTGGAGGTAATCTCAACAAACGAACATACATACACCCAATTCCGCGAAGTCGTTCCTTGCAGATTGACCACAGATTCTCGATTGGATTTAAATCAGCAGAGTTTCCGGACTAGTATATACTACTTTGATTTGATCATTGGTAAGGCTTGCCATTGGATTCGTGCAGTCTTACAATTTTTGTATGCTTCCTTGGAGTAACGTCCATCGCAGGCAATGGCCATAGGACAACTAATCGACAGTCGAGACAATAGTGTCTGGACGTGATAATAATCTGATGCAATCACGGATGACGCAATATTTTTCACGGCCAAACAAATTTAATCATACACCCCGAAAATAAATTTATATTACTGTAATCAGTGCAAATGACCTAATCTTAGGAAAAAATAGATATCGATAACATCCTGTCGGTCTAAAACTGGCCGTATGGTGAAAGAAAGGAAACTAAAAGGTTGTTTCAGTTTATTTGCACAAGGGTGTACATGCATATATATATATATATATATATATATATATATATATATATATATATATATATATATATATATAATTTTTAGGTTTGATGGGGTATCTATCTTGAACCCCAGAAACTTGAAAGCGTTAATATTTTTTTCTGTAGTTTAATAGTAAGTTGACAATTTCTATTAGGAACATAAATTAGTCCATCGTCTCTATATAGACCTAACTGCTTCGGATCTACAATTCTATTAAGGATTTAAAGATAAACAAGATTAGCCAGTCGAATCATACGCTCCCATTGGAACGTCAAAGTGAATACTCTTGCATTTAATATGAGGAACGAATTAGTGTTGAAATGTTGACATAAAAACAAACTCAAATTTCTATTATATAGTTTTGCTTTAATTATCTATCCAAAAGCACTCGCCGACTCCCATCCCATCTAACACTTCAAATGTCTACATAGTAAACAAAAAACTAATTCGAATTCCCATAGTAGAATTTTGTCTTATTTAGCTACCATAAGTTACTCTCCTCCCCATCTAAAACCTCTTATACTATATTAATTAAAATTTATACACTTTCCTCTACTTACAATATCTCTCTTACACTCCTTCTATTACTGTCTTAAGTCTCTTTATTTATACATTTTTTATATTTCATAATTTCTTCTTTAATTTTAAATTTAAGTTAAAAATTTGTGTCTTCCTCTCCTACACACATTTGTCGTCATAAGGTTAATATTCTGGTTTTCTTTTTAATAAAACTTCTCCCCTTTAGGTTAGATACTTACCAACTTCCTTGACCCCTGTCTTGTGCCTAGCGTCAAACTGAAACAGTGAAAAGTGTAAACTCTGTATTAGGTGTTTTCGGCAAGTCCACGTTCAGATTGAACCTTTAGCTTTTAATATCAATTCCTCACAGTTAACTTTAAATTTCCTGCTTTTTCTAACCTTACAGACGTGAACTTCATTCCACACCGGCGTTGAAAAGACAGACGACCACTTTTGTCGTCTGGCGAAATAGCCTATTCCCCATACGAGGTAAAAGGATTTATTTGATTATATATATATATATATATATATATATATATATATATATATATATATATATATATATATATATGTATGTATATATGTATTAAATTAAAATTTTTATGTATATATTAAAATAAAAGTTTAAATTAATGTTTTTAAACATTAAAACTTCGACGATTTTTCTCGATCGATCATATCTACTCACAAAATATATCTTAACGTAAACAATGACATCATATTCTGAAATTGATTAATTTGGACTTCGCTAAACAGACGCTTCTCTATAGCTAATTGGTATAGCAAGTCAGATCAAATAAATGTTCCGTATAGGACACAGGTTCGACTCCTTTTGGAGAAGGCATATTTTCTATGAAATGTCTCGAACATTCAAGTTGGTAAATGTAATTAATACTGTTTAATTAAAAACAGAGCAGTTATTTAAATAAATTGTATATATATATATATATATATATATATATATATATATGTGTGTGTGTGTGTGTGTGTGTATGTATGTGCGTGTGAGTGTCTTCGAAATCGGGGACGAGATATTCTGGGCTTCTCTCAGAAGCTGTCCGATTTATTGAGGAACTCCGGATGAGGGATTAAGTCTTGTGTTTTTATTAGTCAGCGCAATCATATCATTACAAAGACTTCATGATAAACTATTTACATGTTAGCATGCTGCTCTTGCACCTGATAATAATAATGATGATGATACTTTAACTGCACAGAAAAATAATTCTGAAAGTGAAAGTGAATTTGAAAGCGAAAGTAAATTTGAAAGTGAAAGTAAATATGAAAATGAAAGTAAATTTTAAAGTGAAAGTATATTTTAAAATAGAATCGTATGTAAGTATTTAGTGCTTGGTAGTGACCGAGGAATTTGTGGAATTTATAAATGACAGTGTTGCCTGAGCAGTGGAAACGTATTTGAATAGCCTATTTAAAAAACTCGGAGAGTTGGGAACCTGGAACATCCTGACGACAGAATTGCTAAAAAAAAAAAAAAAAAAAAAAAAAAGCTGGACCTTTTGTTTTGTATTTTCTTTTTGCGATATATGTTAGATCTTAGCCGTAGAAGTATTTATATATCTATGGATTGGATTATATCTTCGTTCTTTTTTCTTCTTTTATGTAATTGTGCATCTGGTTCTAGTAAAACAAATCACTAAGTATTTTTGTTGCTGTTTAAATGATTGTCGCATTACAATCAAATAATAATATTTTTGTCGTGGTTTAAACCGTCGTTTCTCAACCTTTTCTTCCCTGTGACCCATTTTGGGTGTCAAAGGAACTTTATGCCCGCATAAGAACGAATAGAAATTCCATGCAACAGGAAATGCATTTTATTTACAAAAGGAAAACGTTGTACAAAATATAAATCCTGACTAATGGCTACACTGTGGATTAATGGTGTTGTTATGTTGTAACTCAATAAGTTTCATTAAATAAAAAAAAAAATAAAAAACTGATCTCAAATAAATTAAAAATTAATTAAAAGAACAGGAATTCTTTCTAATAAAGATAAAACAAAAAAATTACCGTTTCGAACAGTTATCATCATCATCATCATTGCTATATTCACAACGTCTTGGCCGTTGTACGCTCCGGCCTTCTTCAGGTGATTGGAATTTCGAACCGAACATTTTATTTTGTCCACCGGGGTAGATTGTTCTAGTTCCACCTCGGTTCGAAATTCTAATCACGTAAAGAAGGCCGGAGCAGACAAGAGCCGAAACGTTGTGAATATTGTAATGAAGATGAGGATTACCATTTGCATAATGTAATTAATGCAAGGAATCATAATACCTCATCTCAGTGATATAGACAGATAAATATTATTCCAAATCAAAAGTAATTTATTATAAGAAGAAAACATCGAAAATTTTATCTAAATAATTTCTGAATAATTAGCTCTTAAAAATAAAGCTCATATTTTTATACCACTGGAGAAAATAGAATTTCAAATCCCACATCTTTTCTTTGGGCCAACTCCAGGTCCATTTTAAAGGTTTCTCAGGACCACACTGAAAATAACTGGTTTAAACGACTTATTCGATATGAGAAGAATTTTACACAAACTCTTAACAAACATTCCTTGTCTGTTCTATTCTATAAAGCATGTTTAAACGAAGGAATCATTCCTAAATATACAATATTTAACTTATATCTATATTTATATATAATTGATAATTTGGGTAGCAATCCCTCTTTTATACAGGTTTTGTTAAAGGGAACTGATAAGATACTGCGATTAAGCGTTTGATTCCATTTTTCTTGTGTTCGCACAAATATTTTCTTTTCTGGATATAAACTGTCTTAGAACCGTCCAAATGTTTTTTTATATATCCGAGTGCTTTCGGCTATATTTATTAATCATTAACTAGGATGATTCTATTTTTAACTGAATATCGAGATTTTCATATATGTATATTTATAATGATGGGACCGTGCTGATTGTGTTTGTAAAAAAAAAGAAAAAAAAAAACCAGGTCTATTAATCGGGTTGATTTGCAAGGACTATGCGCTTCAGCAGGACCAAGATCAGGGGGACCAGCTCCCTTCTTTCTGACTGCATGTGTTTTTAGGATATATAATAGTATGCGAAGCAAAAGTGAAGATGATGAGAGAAAGGGAAAAATTTACTAACGACGCGTTTCCCCGTTAGCGTCTGCTCTTTTTGGCTTCCTCGGGTTAGAATAAAAGAAAGACAAAACTGTATTTGAGTAAAACTTACATTACCATATAACTTCCTAACATCTAAAGCAGCGGTTCTCAAACTTTTTTTTTACCCATGAACAACTTTTCCTTTAAATTATTTGTGACCCCCAATAACCATTTGATAAAAAAAAGCTTATTTATTTTTTACTAATAGATAAATTTAGGAATTGTATTATAAAATAGTAAAATATATACGCTTTATTTTGAGGTAAAACTAATTTAATGAAAATAAACTTGTATTTGACAATTAAATTCTATAGAGCATTTATGTACAGTTGAGAAATAACTCATAATGAACAATTTTAAAAATATGTGATTAATTAATAAACTTAAAAAATGCAGATTTATTCAATGAGGTCCCAGAGGTTTACGCTGCAATGCGAGCTTTTCATTTCAATGATAGTTGAAGAACAGACCTTTTCACAATATCGAGCCTATTACCATAATAATTAATTTGTATTAATATCTTATTTCATTAATATTTAAAATTAATTATTATTTATTATTAATATAATAAGTTATAATCTTTATATAATTTCCCATTATATATATAATCCTTCATTCAAATAGCTTTCTCAGTTTTTTATTCAACTTTTACAATCAAAATAACCAGAAAAGTAGTGATTTTCCAAGCCTAGCTTAGATGTGACACAAGGCCAAAAATAGGGAGCACCCAGTGAAGATCGAACTCACTACTCAGTCGTAATTGTTCTAGCGAGACAGGTTTGCTAACCATTACACCAACTTGAGGTGCCCAATAGTGATTTTCCGAGCGTAGCTTAGATGTGACACAAGGCCGAAATTATAGGGCACTCAGTGAGGATTTAACTCACTACTCAGTCGTAATTGTTCTAGCGAGACAAGCTTGTTAACCATTACACCACCTTGAGGTGCCCCAATTAACCAGTAGATTAAAAGAGATGATAACTTATATCGCGTCATCTTGTTTTCTGCTAGTTTTAGAGATTTTTCTATTTTTAGTCTTTTAATATGGCTTAGATTACTGTATAAATTCCAATTCTCAATTATAACAACCGTTCAGAAGTGAAATTGCTCTATGGGCCACGAAAATATTACCATGGAGCCCCAACTTACTACTTTTTGTGTGTGGACCCTCTGTAATGTTACATGAAACCCCAGAATGCATGTGCACCCCGGTTGAGAAGCACTGGTCTAAATGTACAATCTTTACTGATTGGTTGTTTCATTAGTTTGAACGCATTTCATTTGCAAAAAAAAAAAAAAAAATATAGAATCCCCCCCACTTGCATAAAAGTAAATAAAAAAGAAAAGAAATAAGCAAACCCAACAAATAAACAATAGCTAAAAAACATAGAACGGCATGGGCGAAATATTCCATGTCATTGGAAGAAGAATTTGCAAAAAGCTAAAGAATTGAAAAAAAAAGAATATCAAATTCTGGTGTTTACTTACCGTCATTCATCTCATTCCTGCGTTTACATTGCAACTTGGGTCGCTTTTGTCTGATAAACCTTAGGGTTTCATCATCTACTTTTCCTTTTGTTTTTATCTGGGCCAGCGTTCCCTTCAGAATCAAAAGAAAAGGGATTTAATAATAATAATAAATGAAAAAAAATCATTTATGCAATTACAGGAGGAGTGGTTTCAATTACGATAAATTTATTTACGTTTTCTTGACTTCAGAGCACCACAGCATAAAGTCCCGGAAAAATGTACGCTTTTTGGAAGGAACAATTTCAAAATCTTTTACAAAAAAAAAAAAGAAAAAAAAGAAAAAAGAAAACAAACAAAAAATTCCACCCCCACCCAAAACATTCTAAATTTCCAATTGATATGATATTTTATACAATTCTTATGATATTTTAATGATATTCTTAAGGTATTCCTTTGGCATTCTGAAGACCATCTTATGACATAATAATGTCATTCTTATTACATTTTATGACATGCATATGACATCCTTATGATATATTAATAACATTTTTATGACAGTGTTATGATATAATAATGTCATTCTTATATTTTAATGACATTATTATAACAATCTTTTGACATAGCGATGTCATCCTTATGATATTTTAATGACATTATTATGACATTCTTACGGCATAATAATGTCATTCTTATGACATTTTATGATATTCATATGATATACTTATGATATATTACTAACAATCTTATGATAGTCGTACGACATAATTACGCTACTCTTATATTATTATGACATTATTATAACATTCTTATGACACAACAATGTCATTCTTATGATAGTTTTATGACATTCTTATAACATAATAGTATCATCATTATAGCATTCTTATGACATAATAATTCCATTCTTATGATATTATTATGACATAATAATTTCATTCTTATGACATTTTTATGATACTATTATGCTATTCATATTATGGTATTATTATGGTACAAGATTCTGTTGACATATTAATGGTATTTTATGACCTTAATGTGCGTTGTGTTGTACTGGATATCGGCTCGGAATGAGAATTCAGAGTTCCAAGTTCGAATTCCAGCCAGGTTCGTTACATTCACTTAATCGCAAATATCCTTGGGAAAGGTATGGATCCGTCTCTTCCCCTCGCTGGACGGACTTGGTTCTATAGCCTTGGTTGGCAATCAGTCTACCGCAGAAAAAAAATTCCACCTCCAGCGTGAAAATTCCCTTCATCGTCAATTTCGATCGCCCCAACGTGTATGCAGTCTGGGAAGTTAGGTGGCCACATGTAAGAGATGATCTGGCTGCAGAAATTGACTAACAGTCATGATTGCATTCTCCTGCTTGTGTGGCATGGTGCAGAGTCCTGTTGTCAGATATACGGTTTTCCAGCAGCTACCCTCTTGACATCAGCACTACCTCCTCAACGCACGTGATTTAGGACTATTTGTTTAGTCTGAGGCCTTAACCAAAACATTCAGGAGTTCATTTCTTATCAGAACGACCTGGGTGACTTTTCTCAGCTGACGTACCTCCGTAATCACTATTAGACTCATCCAACTCTTTCTGAATCTTCTGCCCTGTCCTCGGATTAAACCCAAACACTCTGAAATGTGCTCGATGTCATATAACAGAGCTCTAAACTATATACATGGTACGGTGGGTCATTTGTCTCTAAATTACGCAAAAATGAAAATAATACTGACATCTCATTTAACAGATATATTTACCAAAATTACACAAGAAAGTCTTGAAATACTATAGATTAAATTTATTCAATAAAATCACCTTTGGCCACAACCACTGCCACCAGACGATCTCAGAATCACCTGTAAGTCTTTTGGACAGTCTCCTTATTTAAGTTGGTGAATGCTGCCATAATCCTTGGCTTCAGTTTCATCTTTGGTGTTTGTCATATAGGACATAAATGAATGGAATTATTGTTTATCGTTTATGTAAATAAGCGGAGTTAAGCAGAGTTAGCATTAGGTCAATTACTAAGTATCCCTTCGTGTAATAAACCATCTATTTCATTACTTACCTATAAGTTTGTCTTCATTATTTATTTCCCGCTGCAACAGATCTGCAATGTAATCGATCCTGATTTGGCATCTACAGTCCAGTTACTTTCTCATAGAAGTGATGTGGCTTTCCTCTGTCTTTTCTACAAATGTGAACTGCTAGGTCACTTAGTTAAAGCAACACCTGTTTGGGATGCTTCGCCTATTTATTAAAAGGTTTACCTTTTAAGTCAACAGTTATTTTTATTTATATTATTTACATTCGGACTATTATCCTCATTTATGTTCCTTTTTGCCCTACCACTTTTGAATGACTTGAAGTGGAACAACTACATTGAATCAATAGCTGCATCTGTTGCAAGGAAATTTGGCTCGGAAAAACTGACCTTGTGCCATATCCCGCTCTGTGGGGAGCTCGGATAAATACCGAGTTAGCATTAGGTCTTAGCCGCGCTAATCTCTTAGTGCTTGTCGAACTTTCTGCCTTCAGGCAGAGAGGAACCAGACGAGGCAATGCCGAAGGGCAGAGTTTTGTTTGGGGAGGTGGGCAGAGTTTTGTTTGGGGAGGTAGACAAACAGGACCTCATTTTGCCCTAGCTTACGGGCTCGGAACATCCTACGTTAAAAAAACCGGCCTTAAGCCACTTCCCGCCTTGTAGTGAGGACTTGGGTAAATACTAGGTCTTAGCCGCTCGTTAAGCTATTACTACTTGTCGATTTTTCTGCCTTTGGGCGGAGATGAACCAGACGAGGCTATGCCGAAGGGCAGAGTCTCGTATTGTGAGGTAGACAAACCCGACTCCGTTCATACGGGGGTCTACGGGGAATTTTTGCCCGGGCCTACGAGCTCGGAAAACCCCATGTTAAACCGACCTTGTGCCACATTCCGCTCTGTGGGGAGCTCGGATAAATACCGAGTTAGCATTAGGTTATTTGCGTTAAGTATACCTTCATGTAGTAAACCTTCTATTTCATTACTTACCTAAGAGTTTGTCTTCCATATTTATTTCTCTCTGTTATCTCGAAAACATGAGATACAACAAGACATGACTATCAAGTAGAGTCTGCCTTTTTGACTCTTGTACAAATCGCAGCCATGTCTACCTTTTTTGACTCTCATGAACAAGCGCCATTTTTGACTCTTACACAATGAATGAAAAATGATGAAAATGATCAGTAACTTATACAGTTCATTTACAAGAGTGAAATGAACCACTTGTTTGTTTGTCTCAGGTCCAGAGCCTCAAACTGAGGCTAAATTTGCCTCACCCAACAGCTTATTGAGGAGAGTTAGGATTAGGTCCATTGCTAAGTGTACCTTCATGTAGTAAACCTTCTATTTCATTACTTAACTAAGAGTTTGTCTTTCTTATTTATTTCTCTCTGTTATCTCGAAAACACGGGATACAACAAACTGACATCTTGAAGATTTCATTCTTTTAAATAATAAAGCTGAAAAAATGTTATGACACAGAAAAGAGCTGATGCTGACTTGCCTTCAGCGATGAAGAGAAAAATTGCTCAGCTGACCATCTCAACCTGCTTGATTGATTTGTTTTACTACTGTTTATCAGATCTTTGCATGTCATTTCAAGCCAGAAATTATTTTAGATTTTAAGATAATAATAGTTTAGTGATATAAGTTTTACTACTTGTCATATAAGACAGAAATGAATGGAATTGTCTATTTATGTAAATAAGCAGAGTTGAGGAGAGTTAGCATTAGGTCACTTGCTAAGTACACCTTCGTGTAATAAACCTTCTATTTCATTACTTACCTAAGAGTTTGTCTTCCTTATTTATTTCTCTCTGTTATCTCAAAAACAAGACATGACTATCATTTTGATTCTTGTACAATCTGAAGTAGAGTCAACCTTTTAGACTATTGTACAAACCGCAGCCATGTCTACCTTTTTTGACTCTCATGAACAAGCGCCATTTTTGACTCTTACACAATGATAATGAAAAATGACAAAAGTGATCAGTAACTTATACATTTCATTTACAGGAGTGAAATGAACCACTTGTTTGTTTGGATCAGGTCCAGAGGCCCAAGCTCAGGCCAAATTTGCCTCACCCAACAGCTTATTGAGGAGAGTTTGGATTAGGTCCATTGCTAAGTGTACCTTCATGTAGTAAACCTTCTATTTCATTACTTACGAGTTTGTCTTTCTTATTTATTTCTCTCTGTTATCTCGAAAACGCGTGATACAAAAATAGGTTGCTGCTTGTAACGTTTAGAAGAAAATTCATACAAAACGTACACTTATACTTAAAATCAGAAGAGACAATTGATATTTTTAGGATATAGAATGAGGTATGTTTGAAGAACTTGGCATTCACAGGACGTATTGGAGGCAAGAGGAACAGAGCTGGTGTTAATGAAATACAAAAATAATTATTACCATGGTGCCACGGATCCTGTCTCAGCAACACGACGCTTACCAGCACCAAAGGTTAGATGACTTGAAGATAGTAATTATCAGAGAAGCAAATAAACGGAAAGAAGTTCCTCAGATTGGAAGGGCAAGAAAATGTAGATGTTGCGGTTGAATTTAACTATTTCTAGAGTAAAAGGGTGGGACCTAGATACTGATCTAGTAGCACGTTTAAATTCGTGCAGTTAAGGCACCAAAGAAGAAAGTGATATTTATTCTGTTTAATACAGAAATGTGGCACAAGGCCGAAAAGGGGATTGGGGAAAGGACGGTCTTCTTCTGTCTTAACTATAACTTAGCTAGCTGCAAACACTGACCAAATCTTACGAAACAATATTCCTTACACCAAAACAACACATTCATTCGTACCTTTCTTACTACAACCACCATAATACCTCTTTGTCTCTATGAAAATACTAACTAGTCCCCATATTTACAAATCGTTGTCTGTGGGGAGAAGGGAATAAAACAACAATTCTAAAAGTTAACCCCAATGAGTATTTACAATATGCATACAAAAACTATTTACAAGAAACTAAAGAAAATAAGATTAGTAATAAAACCCCCCACAATTACTAAATGTGACAGAAACATCACTTCACTGGCCGAAATCAATGCGGGACTATAATAGTATAAACCATTCATTCAT